AGGTTCATATCTCCTCTCCAGCTCACTTTGGCGGCAATTTGACCTTCACCCGGGCTGCCGACAAGGAGCGGTATGCCTCGGCTTGCACAAGGAAGATAATTCCTTGTAAATACATCCATGACCCTACACTTGATATGCTAAACCTGAGGGATGAGGTCACGCAGCACTTGACTAACGTAAGCTGGACCCGCTATGTTTCTATCAATCTACCTGCTTTTACTGAACTCACGTGGGAATTCTATGCTACTTTCGAATTTAATATTCCTGATGAATTCTCCGTTACCACTCCTGGGGTAGTGAGGTTTCGATTAATGGGTAGAGAGTTCAACCAATCTATCACTGAGTTTAATTTGACTCTTGGGTTTATTGATATTCCTTACTCCCAGAGTGAGGAGTATATGCACAGTGTGTGCGAGTACTCGGAGCCATTTTTCTCTCATTACATTGATTATTGGAGAGATTTGTCGGTTGACCGACACTTCTATGACCCCAGTCAGTCTAAGACTTCTTATCTTAAGAACGCCGCCTACCGCTATTTACATAGATTCATGGCCTATAGTTTCTCAGGTAGGAAGGATAACTCGGGTACTCTGACTAAGCCCGAGTTCTTTTTCGTCTGGTGCATGGTCACTCGGACTAGGGTCAATTTGGGTAGCTGGTTTGCCCTCCACCTCCGAACTGTGTTAAGTAAGAAAAATATGCCATTAATCTTAGGCTCATTTATCACTCAGTTGGCTGTAAATCTTGGGGTTTTAGACTTAAATAATTATAACTTGCATCGTGCTTGTACTATGGAACCCCTCGATTTGGTTTGTTTGGAAAAAATGAGTCTTGTGAGACAGGTGGCGGGCATTTTTCAGTTTGCTCCCTCGGGGCCAATCTCCGTTCCTCCAAAGCGCAGCGCTTCCAAATCCACTGCCCCGGAGGCTGGTGGTCCTTCCACGGATGCCCCCGGACCATCCTCTTCGGTACCTCCACCATCTTCCTCCGTCGATAGTCAGCTTGCAGCCCTCCGGTTCCAGATGCAACACATGGACACTCGTATGGATCGGATGGAGCGTCAAATGGGCGGGATGGCCCAGAATTTAGCGCAGTATCTCCATCACGTGGGCTTCCGCCGGCCTTTTCCTCCACAACCGTGATCCAGTTCTCCCCTCCTCCGTTTTTAAGGGAAGTGTTGTTGCCCCGGTACCTTTGTTTTGATCTTTCTTTGCTTACATTGAGGGCAATGTAAGGTTTAGGTGTGAGGGAGGGTTGACTATGCTTTGAACTATGTTCTGGTTGTGTTTTTAGTTAAACGATGATGAATGCAAATTGAGATATGAGCGTACATAGTAAGTTCATGCCATGGGGTGTTCTACTTTCCTTGATACTGAATTGATTGATTAATATGCTGCACTTGACATCAATTTGATCACTTGGATGCTGCGCAGTTTTGCTACAATCTGCACAAGTCATCCGCAACCAAACTGAGTCCGTTCGAGTTGGTGAACGGGCAACAACCTCTGACTCCGCATGAAGTTGCCCTTCAAGGCGGGAGTCGTTGCCCAGCCACACATCGGTTTGCTCGTGGCAAGCAGGAACTGGTGGACGAAGCAAGGGATAGCTTTCTGGTGGCGCAACAACGCATGAAGAAGTATGTGGACCAACATAGACGAGACTTGGAATTCCAAGTGGGAGATCAAGTGATGTTGAAGTTGACTCCCCAGATTTGAAAGAAAGTGAGCAGCAAAACCGTCCATCGCGGGCTCATTCCGAAGTACGATGGACCGTTTGAGGTGATCAAGAAGGTGGGTCATGTAGCCTATCGGTTGAAGTTGCCTGACCGACTAAAGATCCACCCGACCTTCCATGTGAGCTTCTTGAAACCCTTCAACCAGGACGAGATGGATGAAGGACGGAGGCAAGCGAAACGTGCTCCGTCGGTGATCCGCAAGCAATTCCAGAAGGAGGTGGAAGCTGTGCTGGACCACAGAACGATGGGGCAGAGCAAAAAGAACAAACGGACAGATTACCTGATCCAGTGGAAGGGCAAGACCGAGTTGGATGCTACTTGGGAACGGGACGTGACCTTGTGGCAGTTCGAAGATAAAATTGCTGAGTACCTGAGAGATGTGCGGATAGGGGTGAGCATCGAATTCGAATTCGGTAATTCGGTAGGTTGAAATCGGTAATTTTCAGTAAATGGTTCTGGAAATATTCGACCTAATTCGCATTTGAATTAGAGACTACCGAATTCGAATTCAACCCGAATTCAATTCGGTAAACAAAAAATTTACCGAATTACCGAATTCCAGAAAACTGCTTCTTCGGCCCATTTTTCATCAGCAAATAGGAATGCTATTGAAGTGAGCCACAACTTACAAATTGTTCGAATGTAACTGATCACAAATCACTCCAGAAATTCGGAATCGAAACAACACACAATTGACATTGATCATTGAAATCCAGAAATCATAAACAAATCCACAAACAAATTACACTGATCCACAAACAAATCACAAATGACAAACAAATCCAGAAATCACAAATCACAAATCAGAAATTACACTGTTGCCCTGGTGCTACTAATCAGAAATTCCACTGATCCACAATCATAAATCAATCCAGAAATCATAATGAAACAAAAATAAAAGTCTAAATTAACTTGTCCAAAAATCACAATCCACATTCCACAATCTAGAAAGCCACAAAGCCGCAAAGGTCAATAATCCAGAAACTGCAATCCATAATCCAGAATCCAGAAAGCCACAAGAAGAGTTGCAATACAGAAAGCCAATTACGCTGAAACTGCAACTTGCAACAAGAGTTGGTTCAACCCTCAAAATGCAAACTTCAGCATTTGTGACCTCTCAAAGGTCAATTATAGTTGGTTCAGCTCCGGTCTTCAGCAACTCTGCAAGAACAAATAAAATTCATGAAGTATCATAAAGGCAATTATTAGAAAGAAAGAAATACTTCAAATTCTGCAATAAAAATTTTGATAACTTACCAGATTCGAAGGCTTCAAGCTCTTCCAGATTTTCTTCTACATTTAATTCTGTCTTGGAGGACCGAAGCCAATCTTGAGCACATGACAGGTGCCGAACCTGTACAATAATAAATACCTACTCGAGAAAAATACAGATTTTATATATAGCGGTGAGTAGGGTCGAATCCACAGGGACTGGGGATAATTCGTTTCTTTTAGAGTCCAAAGTATGGGGGGTTTTGGATTGAATGCTAACTAAATAAATTAACTGCAGAAAATAATTAATTAAAAAAATAATTGGAGAAACTCTAGCCAAGGGTACACTTCAGAAATGGTTCATGCAACTGATAATCGATTCAAATATAATTCCAACATTTATTAATAGATTAGTTATAGTTGTCATGCACGCGATAAACAACCAACATTTCCTTAGTTTTTCGATAGTTAAGGTACGACCGTTAACTATTTCTCTAACCCAAAAACAATCCTAGGTACGACCGTAAGATTTAATTTCTAGATTGCATTAATAATTAGAAAGGCCCAATCCTAACTAACAAACACGCTACGAGAGTTTGTTTAAGTTAGATCGTATGTTCCCCTGACATAAACCCAATTACGCCAGTTGCTACTGAGATAGAGATAACGAACAATTACGGATTTAATTATCCCTATTTAACAAAATAACCTATATGAATAATTAATTATTGCGCACTAATCAATCATACATAAGGGTTACAACAATTAAAAGCAGGAAACATATAAATACCAATAAATGAGAAAAATAATTAAAAGTGGTTTAGATCTCACAGTAATTGCCGAACCAATTCATCAGTTGTCCCCTCGACTAGAAGAATTTAGCCACGCCTCATGGAAAAATCTCCACGTAATTTAACTGAGGTCCAGGCCATCAAAAGAACCAAGAAAGAATAAAAACTAAACTATGCCAAAAGCTAAGCTAAAACTATCGATAAAAAAAACTCTCTGTACGTTCCTTTTTAAAGCCAAAAGAAAGTCTAATGCTATCTCTAGTGGTCCCCACTCAAATGAGAGTCCAAGGGCCAAAGAATTGGAGCTTTCCAAAGTCCTTGTTTTTAGTTTCCTCTTTACCCGTAAGACTCCTAGTACAAGTCCACCCTTTTCAGCATAAAGATAGGAAATCCCTTTGTGTAGCATCCTGTGGAGACCGGCTTGTATTAAACCTTGCACAATTCTAGGAGTCAAAGAACTCCTAAATGTATCACGAACACGACCTCCGGTACTAAAAGCAGATTCGGAGGCCACGGTAGAAATTGGGACTGCTAACACATCACGAGCAACTTTGGAAAGGATTGGGAATCTAAGGCTATTGGCCTTCCACCATAACAAGATATCAAATCTCTCATCATCTTCCTCACAATCCTCATTCAAATACTTCTCTAATTCAGATTTTGCATCCCTACCCCCAAGTTCCATTTTTCTCTTCTTAAACTCCAACTTGTACCTATCAGTGATTGTTTTAGAGGCATCCCCATGTCCATGAAATGTAATTTTACTCGTTGGAGAATCACTTGAAAGTGAAGAAGCATGAGAGGCAGGTGTGTTGAGCATCTTATATTCATTAAACAGCTCAAACATTGCATCTTTTGCAAGGCCAGCTATTGTTGTACTATCGGACTTACCATACATTTGACAAACCACAAATTCAAGGTATTCAAGTTTAGTTCGAGGATCAATAATGGAGGAAATAAAAATCAGCATAATCATCTTTTCAATCTTTCCCCAATACTTATCATATTTCTCCTTCATTGATCTTGCCATTGAACTCAATTCATCATTATCACTTGCTGTCATTTCAACTAAAATGCCATGAATGTGACTAATATCAGTGAAAAAATTATTTGAAGTCACATATTTGGAACCGGAAACCTTCACAGTTAGCTGATAAAAGTTTTCCAAAAAAATTACCAAGAATCTAGCTTTTGTCCAATCAGATTTTGTTGGCAGATTTTCTCACTCTTGAAGCATATAAGGATCCTGCTCCTCAAACCTCTCAAAAAGCTCGCTCAAACCTTTGAGCTGTGTCTAGCATTAGATATGTAGAATTCCACCTAGTAGATACATCTAAACAGAGCAATCTTTTGCATTCAATTTTTTCAATTTCAACACACTCCTTGAATTTTTTCAATCTAGAAGGTGACTGTCTAACATATCTAACTGCTGCCCTGATACAATCAACTGAATCCCCAAGTTTTTTGATGCCATCATTAACAATTAGATTCACTATGTGAGCTACACACCTCACATGAGTCCATTTCCCCCCTAACACAGCTTTTCCCCAATTTTGAAGCTTTCCTCGTAAATACTGGACAGCTACATCATTGGAACTTGCATTGTCAACTGTGACAGTTAGGATATCATCAACTCCCCATTCTAGTAGACACTTTTCTATGACCTTACCAACTTCAGTTCCCTTGTGACTAGCAATAGGACAGAAATTTAGGATCTTTTTGTTCAGTTTCCAATCATTATCTATGAAATGGGCAGTGAGGCACATATAGTTTATCCTTTGAATGGATGTCCAAGAATCTGTGGTTAGACAAATTCTGCCACTGTTATTCTTCAAGAGTTGTTTCAACTTAGTTTTTTCATCTAAATACAGCTGATAGCAATCTCTAGAAATAGTCCATCTCGAAGGAATTCTAAATGATGGACAAGCAGTCCGCATCATATATTGAAAGCCTCTACCCTCTACATGTTTAAATGGCAACTCATCAACAATTACCATATAAGCTAAGCTTTTTCTAATGGCTTCCGCATCAAATTTCCAACTTATGAGTGCCCCTTTAACCTCTCCCGCTAAGGTTTCAGTTTCACCCAAACACAAAGTAGCCTGGCCAGTGTGCTTATTTTTAGGATTTAGAGGACATTTAGCTACATGAGTATTAAGGGGAGTCGTACCATGACTTTTGGGATCCGCAGCTATGTCCTTGTCACAGTACTTGCAAATTGCATGACGAACTCCATTCACATGCTTTACATGAAAATGATCCCAAGCTTTGGACCTCTTCTTGTACTCTCCTCTTTTCTTGGCAAAACTAGATTCTTCGCAGCTTTGTGTAGTAGGACTAGGAGGAAGAGTTCCAGATGATCCTTCTTGTTCCAGCTCATTGCGACTTGGATTACTCTCACCATCAGTAGTAGACATAGCTTCAGTGTGCCAGCACTTGAAACCTTTGACCAGAACAAGGACACAGCACAAAGATTTCACAAGTCAGAAAAGGTATATAATACTTTTTTCTCACTGATCAGTAGGTCTAATTTCATATCCAATCCAAGATATTTTGAGAAAATTTGCTCATAGCTTCTAAAGAATAATACGACCCTGAAATCTATTATTCACATATTCAAAGTGGAAAAGTAGGAATAATCTCTAAAAGTATACTAATCCATCATTGGTTTCATGCATCAGATGAGTTCAGTAAGCTAAAACCAGAACAAATCTTTAGACATTAATCAACATACTCAACCAGAACTGCACAACGACCATAGCTCAGAACTACTTTGTGAAATTGCAACTTCCAGACCAGTTTTTTTTTCCGAAGTATATTACATTACATCTGATTATGAGAGAAGAAAAACCATTGAAAGAGGGGAAAAATCTAATTTTACAGTGGGACTATAAAGAGCATCAAAATTGGCAGAGACCTATTTGGGGCCTTACTGTCGAATCAATAGATAGGCTGCATACAATCAGAATCTACTGCTCAGTGACTGATAGAGCCGTTATTTGGCAAGTTTTGCACTGTCATCTTGTCCTAATTTTGGCTATTCATGGTGCTAAGAAAGGGGATTTCGCTCATATTTGACATTTGCGTGAATTGTAGGTGGTTAGCATTAAAAAGATATCGCGGGGAAAAATTTCCAGAAGACTTTTCATTTCAGAGCGTGGCCACGCCTTAGAAGGAGGACGAAATCGAAAGCCGGACCGTGGTCCACGTGAACCCGAAGCATTGGATTAAAACTCCAAAGGAAATAGCTTCTATTAGCTGAAATTGCTCCAGACGTCTCTGCTTTTTGACTTGAATTGCGGCGGCTATATAAAAAGGACAAAGCAAGATGGGAAAGGAAGGAACTGTTGAGCCGTAGCTTTAATTTTTCTTTCCTACTTTTTGTCAGCGGCTTTGTCCTTGCTTTTCCGTGACTTTTGTTTCTGCGGCGGCTAGCGGCCAGACGTTGAATATTTCTGCGGATTGCATCTGGGCTCTGTACAACGGAGACCCTTTTTCACTTTTTGCTTTTGACTCTTCTAAATTCCGTGAGATTCCTTTTGGGCTTTTCCAATTCTTAGGCAATCAATTGAATGTATTCAATTAAACCACGCGGGATTGACACTATGAGGAGCGGCTAATTTCCTCCTCTACCCAAAGGGTGACGCAAGGGCGCGGTTCATAATATCTGTGAGATCTAATCGAATCTTCATTATTTCCCCCAATTTGTTGCTATTCGTGCATTTTCTGAATTAATTGTTCATGGGTATTTGATTAATTGAATATCAACGGCCGGGTATTTGATTTAATTTAATAGCCTACTGCCACGTTAATTAAATAGAATCCGTAATTGTTCATTTAGTTAACACCCCGTGGCAACCACCATAATTGGCTTTATGATGGGGAAATGCAGGATCTAATTTAAATAAACCCTCTTAGCGTGTTTATTGGTTAGGGTTGGATTTTTCTAGCTTTAATGCAATTGGGTAATTAAATTCCTACGGTCGTACCTAGGGTTGTTATCTGGTTAGGGAAGCAGTCAACGGTCGTACCTTGACTGTCGAAAAGGTAAGGAAGAACTGGTTGTCAGAGCTTATTGATAACTATAACCAACCTAGTGATGAATGGGTGAAATATCTTTGCATCTATGATCATTTATTTGGACCGTGCCTGAGCAGTTAATCCTTTGGGTAGACTTTTATTAATTGCTATTTTTTTTAGTGACTTGTGCTTTGTGAGTTGGTTTTGAATTTAGTTCGCTTTGTTTTTATTTTACTTTTATTTTATTTCTCTCCCATTGAAAATCCCCCAATTTTGTTCTGCTGATTTGGAAAGAAATAATTTCCGACCTGCTCCCTGTGGAATCGACCCTACTTGCCATTGTACGCAAAATTAGTATTTTTATAGACAAACCCGGTATATCGGATCAAGCAAACTCTTCGGGAACAGGGTGAATCAAGTAACCCATTGCACACCTAGGGTCCCTGCTCCAGTACTTGGATTTGTTTTATAATTATTTAATTGATGTGGTAATTAGGACTTTTTAGTAATTATTATTGCACAGGTTCGGCACCTGTCAATTTTTGGCGCCGTTGCCGGGGAGCTGGCGTTTGGATTATTTGTTTCTTTTCAAATTCAGTCTTTATTTTATTTTTACTTTATTCTATTCTTCTTGGTATTTTTGCTAGTTTATGCTCCGTTCTTCTCCCACAGGTGAATTAGTCTACGACGCTGAGGTTGAGAAGGCAGCGCGTAAGCGGAGGCAAGAGACCAAGAGGCAAAAAGAAGGGCACTTATTTGCTGCAAACGAGTCAGTAGAAGACGAAATAAGCATGGCCAACACCCAAACATTAAGGGAGCTGGCTGCCCCGGAGCTGACTCACCAGCCCTTATGCATCACATTCCCCACTTTGGCTGAGAATACTGCTTTCGAACTGAAGTCGGGGTTGATTCACCTTCTACCTTCTTTCCATGGTCTCTCTGGCGAAGAACCCCACAAACATGTCAAGGAATTCGAGATAGTTTGCTCCAGCATGAAACCTCCTAGGGTCACTGAGGAGCAGATAAGACTTAGAGCTTTCCCCTTCTCTCTCAAGGATGCAGCAAAAGATTGGCTATACTACCTACCAGCGGGTAGTATTACCACATAGGCACAGTTAAAAAAGAAATTCTTGGAAAAATTCTTCCCTGCATCCTGAGCTGCGAGTTTGAGGAAGGAGATATGCGGCATTAAGCAATATCCCGGTGAGTCCTTGTATGAATACTGGGAAAGGTTTAACAAGTTGTGCACTAGATACCCGCAGCATCAAATTAGTGAGCAACTGTTAATCCAATACTTCTATGAGGGGCTCCAATCAACAGACAGGAGTATCATTGACGCTGCCAGTGGAGGAGCACTTGCAAACAAGACACCGAGGGAAGCGTGGGAGCTCATCGAAGCCATGGCAGAGAACTCCCAGCAATTTGGCTTCCGTGAGAGCAACCCTCCCCGTAGAGTCAACGAGGTAGAGATTTCATCCTTACAGCAGCAACTGTCAGAATTGACATCGGTTGTTAGGCAATTAGCCATGAGAGACATGCCGCGAGCGAAAGTATGTGGAATCTGCACTAGCATGGACCATTGCACAGACTCGTGCCCATTTTACAAGAGGATGGGGCAGAACAAGTAAACATGGCCGGAGGCGTGCCCGCGCCCCGTAGGCAATACGATCCGTATTCCAATACGTACAATCCTGGTTGGAGAGATCACCCCAATCTCAGCTATGGTAGTAGGCCACAAAATGCATTCTCTAATCGGCCTCCAGGATTTCAGCAACCGTGGCAACATAAGTCTCAACCCTCATCCTCAAGCTCAGGGAGTTCTTTGGAAGAAATTGTCAAGAGTTTGGCCAACACTACCACTCAACTTGTCACGACCACCACTCAGTTCCAACAGGACACCAAAGTAGGCATGAAAGACATGGAGACTCGCATGAGTCAAATGGCAACTGCTATAAACCGCCTGGAGTCCCACACATATGGGAAATTACCATCACAACCTGAGGCAAATCCCAAAAATGTAAGTGCCATGACATTGAGGAGTGGAAAGGAAGTGGAGGGGCCGAAGGTCATGAACTCAAAGAGTAAAAGTGAAGACGAGATCGAGCAGGAGATAGAGGAAGAAGGACACATTCGTGGGGGTCCTGGGGTAAATCTCGCACCATCAATACCCGTTAAAGCTAATTTACCCCCTTTTCCTTGCAGGTTGGCGAAGACGAAGAAGGCAGAGAAGGAGAAAGAGATCCTAGACGTGTTCAAAAAAGTGGAGATTAACATCCCTTTACTGGATGCAATAAAGCAGATACCAAAATATGCTAAATTTCTCAAGGATCTGTGCACCCATAAGAGAAAACTAAGAGGGGACGAAAGAGTAGCGGTGGGAGAGAATGTGTCAGCAATGCTCCAAAGGAAGCTCCCACCCAAGTGTGGAGATCCAGGTATGTTCACGATCCCCTGTAAGATAGGGAATACACCGATCAGGAAAGCAATGTTAGATTTAGGGGCGTCAATCAATGTGATGCCAAAGACCATTTTTGCTTCCCTAAATCTTGGGCCACTTAAGGAAACAGCCATCATAATCCAACTAGCTGATCGCACAAATGCATATCCAGAGGGGCTAGTTGAGGATGTCTTGGTTCAGGTAAATGAACTGGTTTTTCCTGCAGATTTTTATATCTTGGACATGGGAGATGAGAAATCATTAAGCCCGTCACCTATCCTGTTAGGTAGACCTTTTCTTAGCACTGCCAGGACTAAAATAGATGTGAATGAGGATACTTTGTCAATGGAATTTGATGGTGAAACTGTGAATTTCAATATTTTCGAAGCGATGAAGTATCCAGAAGAATCTAACTCGGTCTTTGCTTTGAGTGTTATTGAGCCTTTTGTGCAGAAAACTTTCGAATTAGATGGCAAAGACGCATTGGAAGTGGCTCTAATCAAGCATCTGGAGTTGGGTGTAACTCTTGATATGGACCTAAGGGAAGATTTACTCCATGCTGTTGAAGCCTTACACTCACTTCCACCCGTATCCTCAAGGTATGAGCTTACTTCTCTTTTTGTGCCAGAGGCTCAAACAAAGCTACTTCCTTCAGTTGTGCAGGCACCAGAGTTAGAATTAAAGCCTCTGCCAAAGCATCTTAAGTACGCATTCCTAGGAGACCGGGAGACACTGCCGGTAATCATCTCTGCGCACCTGTCTCCAAGTCAAGAAGACAAACTAGTGCGGGTCCTGAGGGAGCATAAGGAGGCAATTGGGTGGAGTATAGCAGATATCAAGGGAATAAGTCCATCCTTATGTATGCACCGAATTCGGCTCGAGGAAGATGCGAAGCCAGTAAGACAGGCTCAAAGGAGGTTGAACCCCCTGATGATGGAGATTGTGAAAAAGGAGATACTCAAGCTTCTAGAGGTGGGGATCATTTTTGCTATCTCGGATAGCCCATGGGTGAGTCCTGTCCAGGTAATCCCGAAAAAGGCGGGAGTGACCGTGGAGGAGAATCAGGAGGGTGATATGGTCCCGGTCAGGAAAGCTACTGGCTGGCGTCAGTGCATCGACTACAGGAAGCTAAATGCCGTGACTAAAAAGGACCATTTCCCCCTTCCCTTTATTGATCAGATGGTAGAACGATTGGCAGGTCGTGTTTACTATTGTTTCTTGGATGGCTTTTCAGGTTACTTTCAGATCGCGATCGCACCAGAAGATCAGGAGAAGACTACCTTCACATGCCCATTTGGCACGTTTGCCTACCGTCGGATGCCTTTCGGTCTCTGCAATGCTCCGGCAACTTTTCAAAGGTGCATGGTAAGTATTTTCTCAGAATATGTGAAAAAAATAATTGAGGTATTCATGGATGATTTTAGTGTGTATGGGGACAGTTTTGATGAATGCCTTGAAAATCTAGCTCTAATTCTGAAAAGGTGCATAGAGACGAATTTGGTGCTTAATTGGGAAAAGTGTCATTTTATAGTAGATCATGACATTGTCTTAGGGCACGTTGTGTCGGCTAAGGGCATAGAGGTAGATAAAGCTAAAATAGACCTTATTTCTGCTCTACCTTACCCCGTATGTGTACGGGAAGTGCGTTCGTTTTTGGGCCATGCAGGTTTTTACAGGAGATTTATCAAAGACTTTTCAAAGATAGGAGCTCCTCTGTTCAAGTTACTGCAGAAGGACGTGCCATTTGATTTCACAAATGAATGTAAGGTGGCTTTTGATAAACTGAAGGAATCATTGACATCGCCACCTGTTATTCAACCCCCAGATTGGAGCCTTCCGTTTGAAATCATGTGCGACGCGAGTGACTATGCCGTGGGGGCCGTTTTGGGGCAAAGAATTGGAAGAGCGCCACACGCGATCTACTACGCGTCGAGAGCTTAAGTGGAGCCCAACTTAATTACTCCACGACGGAGAAGAAATTACTACCTGTTGTTTTTGCACTAGAGAAATTTAGGTCATATTTATTGGGTGCAAAAGTAATTGTTTTCTCTGACCATGCAGCCTTGAGGTACCTGTTGGCGAAAAAGGATGCCAAACCACGGCTCATTAGATGGATCTTGCTCCTGCAGGAATTTGATCTAGAGATCAAGGATAAGAGCGGAGCTGAGAATTTGGTGGCTGATCATTTGAGCCGACTGCTCACAAATCAAGAGGATCTACCGTTAAGAGAATCATTTCCTGAGGAACAATTATTAGCCATTGATTCGTTAACATCTTGGTACGCTGACATTGTAAATTTTTTGGTCACGAATCAATTACCTGCAGGTTGGCCAAAAGCTAAAAGGGATAAGCTAAAGAGTGATGCCAAACATTACCTTTGGGATGACCCGTACCTATGGAGGCAATGCTCGAACCAGGTGATAAGAAGGTGTGTAAGTGCAGGTGAGTTTCACTCTATTTTGACTTTTTGTCATTCGTTTGCATGTGGAGGGCATTTTGGTCCAAAGCGGACAGCTCGTAAAGTGTTAGAAAGTGGTTTTTATTGGCCTACTCTGTTTAAGGATGCATATCTGTTTTGCAAATCTTGTGATAAGTGTCAAAGGGTGGGGAATATCTCTCGAAGAGATCAAATGAGTCAAACCCCCATATTATTTGTTGAGATTTTTGATGTCTGGGGTATAGATTTCATGGGTCCCTTCCCCTCGTCTTTTGGTTTCTTGTACATTATACTTGCTGTTGACTATGTTTCCAAATGGGTGGAGGCGAAAGCCACCCGAACTAATGATTCTAGAGTGGTGGCAGATTTTATAAGATCTAACATTTTCGTCCGTTTTGGAATGCCAAGAGCCATAGTGAGTGACAGGGGCACCCACTTTTGCAATAAAACGATCACCGCCTTGTTTCGTAAGTATGGTGTGCTCCACAAAGTGTCCACTCCCTACCATCCCCAAACGAATGGTCAGGCCGAAGTATCGAATAGAGAGGTTAAGTCGATCCTGGAGAAGATGGTGAGGCCTGATAGAAAGGATTGGAGTGTGAAATTGGAAGATGCTCTCTGGGCCTACCACACTGCATATAAGACACCGATTGGGATGTCCCCTTACAGGTTAGTTTTTGGGAAGCCTTGCCACCTCCCGGTGGAATATGAACACAAAGCATTTTGGGCACTTAAGCGGTGTAATATGGATCTCATGGAGGCTGGAGGACACAGAAAGCTCCAATTACAAGAGTTGGAAGAGCTAAGGAATGAAGCCTATGAGAATTCCGCAATTTATAAGGAGAAAAGCAAAGTTTTTCATGATCAACAAGTTTCGAGAAAGTCGTTTGTCGTAGGGCAAAAAGTCTTACTTTATCACTCAAGACTTAAGCTTTTTCCTGGTAAGTTGCGCTCCCGTTGAATTGGTCCATTTGTTGTTACTAACATTTCTCATTTTGGTGCGGTGGAAATACAAAGTCTTAAGACGGAGAAAAGGTTCGTAGTCAATGGTCACCGTCTAAAGCCTTATTACGAAGGGTTTAATAATGAGCAAATGGAGGTTTTATTCCTTGAAGATCCAAATGGAGAGATTTAAACAATTGAAGGCCATGTCTAGTCAAAGACGTTAAAGAAAGGCGCTGCTTGGGAGGCAACCCAAGGATTACAATATTAGTTGTGATCATTTTTACTTACTCTGCGATTTTTCAGTTTTATCTTAATGTTTTGACTGTTTTTGTGGTGTTGGACAGAAGACTAGAGGTTTCAAGGCGTGCCCACGCCTTGGGAAGGGTGCGCCAGGTGCCCTGAGCGAATTGGGGACTAGCAGTCTCAAGACGTGCCCGCGCGTGGACAAAAAAAAAAAAAAAAACTGAATAGACCTCGTGACCAGAGGACTATGGGCTACAAGGCGTGCCCACGCCTTGTGAGCAGTTTCACAAAAAAAAAAAAAAAATTTGGGGCACTTGTATAAGGTGTACAGCAAATGGAAACTGCCTTGTTAGTGAAACCCCTCTGGTAAAGCACTGTGGTTATTGGGGAGTTTCGGACATTCTCTTGACACTTTACCCCCTATCTATACCTTCTTAACCCGCCTTTCACCTGAGCCCCATTACAACCCTATTAAAGTCCCTTTGATTTATGTGTTCGATTCACTTTTAAGTGGTGGAGATGTGATAAATGTGCAAGCCTATGGTAATGGCATTCCGTGATGTTGA